CCCGCTCTCTTAGGTCTCCAGCTTTCAGTGTAAGATACAGTGGACTCTTTTTTTTTTTTCCCCAGCACCGGGACTCAAACTCAGGGCCTTGTGCTTGCCAGGCAGGCTTGGCACTGCTGAGCTACATCCCCAGCCCTGGGCTACATAGTTCAACACATGCATAAACTACATAACAAGACCCTGTCTCAAAAAAAAGAAGTATTTGTTGTTTCTTTTTTTTTTTTTCATTCTTTCCCACACTGAAGCAGTTTTGTTTAGATTCTGTTTGTTTGTTTGTCTGGTAGGTAGGATGTAATTTGTTCTGGGTCTCTTTTAGCCTCATATGCTAGATTCTCATATAATTCTATTCCCTAACAAATGTGTGAAAATTGACACTGTTATTAATGTTTTTCTAGAAGAAAACTGGAAAGCTGAAGACTTTTTAATGAAATTCAAGGAACACCAAGATAAGTATTCTAGATCAGTTGTATGCATTAACCACAAAAAACTGATAAAAGAGAAGAGTAATGTATATGAAAAGACATTTACCCTAGTCAAAAAGCCTGTTAATCAAAAAAATCTACCTCCTAAATATGATGCTTATGGAAAGACTTTGGAAAATGTTTCAGAATTAATAATCAGTAATCTAAGCCCTGCAAGAAAAAGACTTAATGAGTATAATGAATATGAGAAATCATTCCTTAATACTAAGCAAGAAACACATCATCCTGAAATCAAATCCCATAATCAAAATGGCAGGACTTCTAGTCACAATGATGTGATTATGCAGTATCAGAAGATGGTAACTCCAACACAGTCATTTGCACATAATGATTGTGGAATACCAGTCCTTAATAGGGGAGGCTTAATTACACCTAATAGAGTACACAGAGGGGAAAACCCATCTGTGTATAATAAAAAGAGAAGAGCAACCAATACTGAAAAAAAACATACCTGCACTGAATGTGGGAAATCTTTCTGCAGGAAGTCAGTATTGATTCTTCATCAGGGAATTCACACAGAGGAAAAACCCTATCAGTGTCATCAGTGTGGAAATGCATTTAGGAGGAAGTCATATCTCATTGACCATCAAAGAACTCACACAGGAGAGAAACCCTTTGTTTGTAATGAATGTGGTAAATCCTTTCGCCTAAAGACGGCCCTCACTGATCATCAGAGAACACATACAGGGGAGAAGTCCTATGAGTGTCCACAATGTAGGAATGCCTTCAGATTGAAGTCACACCTCATTCGTCATCAGAGAACACACACTGGAGAGAAACCATATGTGTGTAATGATTGTGGGAAATCCTTCCGCCAGAAGACAACTCTCTCTTTACATCAAAGAATTCATACAGGAGAAAAACCTTATATTTGTAAAGAATGTGGGAAGTCCTTTCATCAGAAGGCAAACCTTACTGTACACCAGAGGACTCATACAGGGGAGAAGCCTTATATTTGTAATGAATGTGGGAAATCCTTCTCCCAGAAGACAACTCTTGCTCTTCATGAGAAAACTCATAACGAGGAGAAACCCTATATTTGTAATGAGTGTGGAAAATCCTTCCGCCAGAAGACAACCCTTATAGCACATCAGAGAACGCACACAGGAGAGAAATCTTATGAATGTCCTCACTGTGGAAAGGCCTTCAGGATGAAGGCATACCTCATTGATCATCACAGAACTCATACTGGAGAAAAACCATATGAATGTAATGAATGTGGGAAATCCTTCAGTCAGAAGACAAATCTCAATCTACACCAGAGAATTCATACAGGGGAGAAACCCTACATCTGTAATGAATGTGGGAAGACCTTTCGCCAGAAGGCAACCCTCACTGTACATCAAAAAATACACACAGGGCAGAAATCCTATGAGTGTCCTCAGTGTGGGAAAGCCTTTAGCAGGAAGTCGTATCTGATTCATCATCAAAGAACTCACACAGGAGAAAAACCATATAAATGTAATGAATGTGGAAAGTGTTTCCGCCAGAAGACAAATCTCATTGTTCATCAAAGAACTCACACAGGTGAAAAACCTTATGTTTGTAATGAATGTGGTAAGTCCTTCAGTTATAAAAGAAACCTGATTGTCCATCAGAGAACTCATAAGGGAGAAAACTTGGAAATATAATAAATGAAGGAATTTGTGAAGCCTTTCCAAGCTATTGTAATCCTTTAATTTTAAAAAGAAACCCATGCTTAAACATGTTCATGTGATTTTAATCACAAATGTAATAATAGTTATTAAATTCGCACTACCTAACTACTGTTGCTGAGCATAAGAAAAGGATATGATCATTGTTACACTTGATCTTAGCCAAAAGGCCGAGAAGCAATAATATGATCATTGTTATTGAACTTAATCATGTATAAAACTAAAGTTTTTATCTGTTCCTGCTGACTCAAATGCTTTATTAAAAAATATTTATATAATACACAAGTTACAAGATTATCAGAATTAAGCTCTATAAGAGAAAACAAAAGCAATGAACTCTAACTCTCATTGCATTCTGTATAATAAACTGTAGTTACTTATTATTTCCCCAAAGATGACTACTTCCTTGTCTTATAGTTTTTGCATGTTTTTATTGTTTGTTTGTTTGTTTTTGGTACCAGAGATCCAACTCGGGTCCTTGCACTTACACAGCAGGCATTGTAACCACTGAGCTAAATCCCCGGCCCAGTTTTTGCATGTTTTTCAAAATTTGTGTGTGTGTGTGTGTGTGTGTGTGTGTGTGTGTGTGTGTATTCAGGTCATGAATTATTTTCTGCCCTGCTTTATTTCACTGAACATTTTTTAAAGATTTGTACATTATTGCATGTTGGCAGTAGTGTATTCATTTTCTATACTATTCCATTTTAAGAATATACTACTGTTTATCCTATAATTGGATACATGTTTTTTTTATAACTGTTATAGTAAAATGTTCTTGGTTATGTCTTTTGGTGTATAGTTATTTATTTCTGTTGATTTTATACCTAATGCTGGAATTACTCATCCAAGGCTATATTTGTCTTTTTAGTTATGATAGATATTGCCAAACATCTCATACCTTTCTCAACATGATTCATTTTGGACAGAGGCAACTTCAAATACAATTAATATAACAAAATCTTTGCCACTCATTTAAATAAAAATTTTCACTGAAAAGAAACCTTATAATTTAATAATTATGAGATCCTATCTGAGTGCAATAAATGTAGGAAGACCTTTAGTTGTCACTCAACCCTTAACAAGAAAAAAATTCATACTATAATGCAAAATAGGAAGAAAAGGTCCAAAGGGGTAGGGGTAGTGGGAGGGGCAGGGGAAAGGAAAGAAGGGAAAGAAAAAATGATGAGAAATGGAA